TGTTGAGATAAATATATTCTAAATGAATATATACTTCAGATGAATATATACTTCAGATATACTAAAACTACTATGACACAGGCAAACAAAACCTAAGGAAACCTATGTGTTGCCCTATGGGGGGGGCAGCTCAGCCCACCAGGGGGCGGGGCTGGCTGGCATGTGGTGCTGGGGGATTGAACCGCGGTCCCTGTGCTTTGCTAAGCTTGTTTTTTTTTAAGTAGGTGCTTTAGACCACTGAGCCATCTCACCAGCCCCAAGAAAAACATTTTAAATGTACATTTGGAATAAGATGAATAGAGAATGTTTCACTTGGTACATCATTTATTTTAATGTAGCACATGGAAAAGAAAATAGACCTCATTTTCGTTTTTTATCCAGAAATTTTTTTTTTTTAAGTCAGGAAAGGCATTATGAATAAAAGATGAAAGCTTGTTATGGTTTGAAGGATTAAAAATAAATTTGTAGCTTTAAAGTATTCTGCTCAAAGTTATCCTGTAGCACTGAAAGACTTTTGAAGAACTGATTGTGGGATCTCTGCGAGGGGACACTTCCGTAATTCTGCAAAATGAAGCAAGTTCTAGACAGAGGAAAAGCCTCTGCAGATGGGGCAGGATAGAAGCGTGGCCTCCTGGAAATGGCTGTGCTGGGCTTCCTTGTGCTGTTCTGGCAACACTTCTTTTAAGTCTGAAATTACAAAGCTTCAAATACAAGTAATGGTAAATTCTGTGATCCAGTTTACTCTCAGAGTGTCATTTACTTTTCAGTGCTCTCTTAAGCTATCTTTTAAACACATATGCTTAATTATGCTTTTAAATTCTGGGATCCTTTCAAATAACCTACATTTTATACTTAAAAGCAAGCATATCAGTGAAAAGTCAAAAATTTCAGAGATCAGTTTGAAGGAAAAACTGAGTAGATATGTATTTCTACTTTACTAGGATGGTTTCATAAACTTTTCTGGTACTGAGGATCGAACTGAGGACCTTGCACTTGCCAGGCAGGTGCTTATGCTGCTGGCTACCTCCCCAGCCTCATGAAGAGAATTGTAATTTTAAAAACTATCAGACATAACCACATTCAAAGACATCTTCAAAAACTGCTGCCAAGACCGGGGAGATAGCTCATCCCTGGTACTGGAAAAACAGCAATAAAAGAAAACCTGCTGCCAGGTGGACGTTCTAAAAAGTATAGATTGAGTATTCTTTACCCAAAATGATGAGGAATGAAGTGTTTCAGATTTTGGAATACTGACACTGAGTTTTACCAATTGAATATGTGTTCAAAAATTTTCAGATTTGGTATAGCTGGTAGGTATAGCCCAGTGGTGCTTTCATGCCTACTATACTAGAGGCCCAGGGTGTGAATCTCAGCATTAGGGAAAAGAAGTTAAAGATTTTGGAGTATATGAAATTTTTTTATTTTTGAACAGAGGTGTTCTACTTGTACATTTTTTTATGTGCTTTACTGGCACAAATTAGCTAACAGTTTTAGTTACTGCCTGACTTATGAAGAAGCAGGTAGTTACACTTATTTAGGAAGAAAACTAGTTTATTAGGATACAGTAAATATCACAGATGAATAGCATGAGAAAGTCATTTTCCTCCATAATAGCCACTTATTTTCCTGGATGTGGCTTTTCCTACTGAGAACAGGGGACAGGGATTTCTCTGCTGTTCAGCCAAAATGCCTCTCTCAAGAGGACAGTTCCTCAGGCAACGATACTGGGCTGGTGCCCTGGACACGGGGAGGTCCACACCCAGAGGGGCTGACTGGGACGTCTTGATGGGGATTGAGGGGTAGGGGAACCTCTGGCCCTGCTGCTCATTGCTGCGCTGTCTAGTTTTCAAGGACTCTTGCTAACATTGGTACCTCTCCTTCATAAGACAGCTGTGGGACATAGGGGTGGCTGCGCATCCTGGCATTCTCTTGTGCTCAAGAAGCAAGAAATCTGGGAGATTGGGTCTAGACCCTCCTTTCTCTTTCTTCTGGTTTAAATTCTGGGCACAAAATTCATGCTGAAGCATCAATTTAGCTTCTAGCATCTGCCCAGCTGCAGTTACACTTATTTATTGTTCGAGTTTAAACCTAATATATTTAGTGTATGTAAAGCTAGCTTACATTTGGTGACTTTGATAGTATTATTTCAAAGCAAAATTTGAAAATTGGGAAGAAGCAAAATTTATCATTCATTGTAGAAGTAACCCATTAATATTTTCTTTCATAGTTTAAAAAAAATACTGTTGCCATTACACTTGTATACAATTTGACCATGCTTCCCTCATGTAACATGTCATTCATAGCTTCGCATACCATTATACAATTGGTAGTATTACTTTATGCCACAGCTTATTTATGCCTCCTCCTCCCCTCCCCCTTCATTAACCTTGAAAGAAAGTAGCTAACTTATATTGGTTACAGTCTTTTTTATTTTTTTTTTGCAGAACCGGGGATTGAACTCAGGATCTTGCGCTTGCCAGGCAAGCGCTTATTCTACTGAGCTGTTTCCCCGGCCCTTATATTGGTTACAAGATAGGGGTACAGATTTACTTCGAACCCTAGCATTCAGGAGACTGAGGCAGGAAGATCTCAGGTTGTCCAGTCTTGGGGGGGGGGCAATGTAGAAAAATGAATATTTTAATTTAAATAGCTTGCTAGCAGAAGTTATTTGACCTGTATTTTTCTTGGTTCCTTATTCCTGTTTTCTGCTGAGAAGCATAATGTTTGAGGAAATTGATTTTAAGAGTCAACATTATCCACGTTTGTTATAGTAAAGAAACCTGGGTGCTAGGGATATAGTTCAGAGGTAGAACTTGTGCTTAGCTGTGCAAGACTAGTTTCAGTCCCCTGTGCTGCCATCAACAGCAAATAAAACAAAATACTTGGAGACATATTTTTATTATTCCATTGCCAGGCATGATGGCACATTCTTGTAATCCCAGCACTGGGAAGCTGAGGCAGGACAATCATGAGTTTGAGGCCAGCCTGGGTACATAGGTCATGTTTTAAAAAAGAGCAAGAGACAGAGAAACAGGAAGAAGAGGGAAGAGGAGGAGAGAAGGGAAGAAAAGGAGAGATAGGAACAATAGAGAAGAGAAAGAATCCTTTGTTAGCTAATTTTTAAACATTTGGAATTTTATTTTTAATATATATGTACTATACATATTTTTTTCAAATTATTATAAATAATCCAGGTGTGATGGTTCACACCTGTAATCCCAGCACTTGGGAGAGTGGGCTGGAGAACTGCCACAGTTTGAAGCCAATTGGGGTTACCTAGTAAGACGCTGACTCAAAAAAAAAAAAAAAAAAAAAAAACTCTTCAAAAATGCAAATTACAAATTTTAGATTCCCATTTGGCAGATACATGAATTTAGTGATTTTGGAATTATATTTACTTTAAAAGTATGTAAGATAAATCATAATCAAAATTTAAATCTTTGGACATTCTGGCCTGGGCTAAGTTGCAGAATCAGGGCAATACACTAGTCTCTGTAGTCAAGGCTGGTCTGGAACTCATTGTATCGCTCAGGCTGGCTTGGAATTTGCAATCCCCCTGCCTCAGCCTCCCAAGAACTGGGATTACAGGTGTGTGTCAAGTTTTGCTTTGCAAGTTTTGCTTTTAATGGTAGGAATTATAGCAGTATATTTGGAATTGGGTTGTTTCACATTTAAATAGTTATTAATCCTAGTATTGTTTTGTTATTTGACCAGCAAACATATAAACAGTTTAAAGTTTTCCCTTTGAGTCCTTTTGTATTTCCCCAGTTATAATGAGGGATTCCTTCCTATTTAAAGCATATGCTTTAATTGTGTATTAGGTTTATTAGTGATTATGTATGAAAAATTATACTTTATTCTGTAAAGTCATCCTGATGTACGTATATGATGGCATCTCATACTTCCTAAATGAATACCTGAAATACTTCTGTATAGCATTCATCTGCAAGGGATCTAGTGGTCCCACTCGAAGGGCTGTTAACATCTCTTACAATTTCATGTTTTGGCAGGTAAACCTAGCCTTTAAGCAACCTGGAAAGAGGCTAGAGCACCAAGGAATTAGAATTGAATTTGTAGGTCAAATTGGTGAGTTTTAAAATAGTATTACTTTTTGTCTTTTGATATTAAGGTTGTATTTGGCACTTAAATAACTGAGTAGAGCTTAGTTTTGTAGAAGGAAGGAATTTTGCAAAATAAAAGAGGACTTAATAAATCGTTTCTTTTAATTGTATTAAGTGATATTGACTCACTTGGCCTTTGTTTTTGGATGTCATACTAAAAGTGAAAGGAGTTACATAATCTGTCCACCTTGAAAAATAATTGAAGTAGGTGTATGTTAAGTTTCTTTCAACATTTTTCCCTGGTCTTACAGTTACCAGGCTCACCTTCATCTTTCATTTTCTAATTACCCATGCCACTTGTCTTCCAGACCTAGTGTGTGTGCCAATAGCCAGATTCCCATCAACAGAAATTCCATATGAAAAGGAAGGAAAGGAATAATTTCTTCTTGTATAGGTTTCATATTGTGTAGATTTCCCTGTGTATTTCAGACACCTTCTTGATACAGCAAGGAGTTAAACTGTATGAAAATCCTTTGTACAGGAAAAGGGAAAGAGGGCTGGGAGTGTGGCTCAGTGGTAGAGCGCTTGCCTAAGTGTATGCAAGGCCCTGAGTTCAATCCCCAGCACTACAGAAAACATGTCTGTAATTCTGTCTGGATAGCTGGGTTTTAAATCCAGCTTTCCAGGGCCCAGTGAGATATCTCAGCAGACTAAGCACTTGCTTAGGTAAGCTCAGGGGTCAGGGTTTGATCTCTGGCACCACATGACGCGCCAACCCTACCCCTGGGTGTGCTGAGCCTGTGATGGAGCCTTGCATGGTGATATACACACCTGTAATCTCACTACTAGGGAGGCTGAAAACAGGAGGATCAGTACGAGTCTGACTGCATAGTGAGACCCCGCACACACACAAAAACCATAAATCCAGCTTTCCAAGTTTTACTGTGCATTTTTTAAAGTATCAAAATTGGGATAGATGAGGGGCTAGGGAGATAGCTCAGTAGAATAAGTGCTTGCCTGGCAAGCACAAGGTCCTGAGTTCAGTCCCCAGAACTGAAGGAAAAAAAAAAAAAAGTGATGGATAAATATTATTTGTTTATATATCTATTCTAGATAAGTACTTGAGGGGCAAGTTATAGTAATTAGCTGATGGTTGGTTTTATTCTTTTATGTATTATAGTTTCATCAGTGTAACATTCAGATTCTATCAATATCAGGAAAAAATCTGTATGAATATTTAATACTAAATTTAAAGAGCTATCATGAAATTAATACATTACTTTTGGCCATTACAATTACAAGAGATACTCAAAGTGTGACACAAGTCTCCAGACATTTATTAGTATGACAAACTGCTGAAGTGTTTATACATGTTTTGGCATACTCAGTATTTGTCTGATTTGACACAAAACAACAAAATAGAATTTTTGCCTTAAAGGGAAGAAGTTCAAATAATTAATGGTAATGTGTCAAATAGCTTCACACTGGGAGAGCTCTACAAACATCAAAGGAATGAACTCATTTCTAATAGAAACTTTCAGTGTGCTATGTGTTTTGAATATGTTTGTGCTTAAGTAGACTATACTGGCAAAATCCAATTATTTTGGTAAAATACTTACTTTGGAGGTAGAAGTTTAGGTTTTACTAATAAGAATATTAAACATAATTGGTCTCTTTGTTTTTAAAATTTCTTAGAACTGTTCAATGACAAGAGTAATACTCATGAATTTGTAAACCTAGTGAAAGAACTAGCCTTACCTGGAGAACTGACTCAGAGCAGAAGTTATGATTTTGAATTTATGCAAGTTGAAAAGCCTTATGAATCTTACATCGGTGCCAACGTCCGCTTGAGGTATGAATGTGTATTAGAAAATGTAAGCATGGTCAAAACTGGAAAGTAATGGCTATGGTTGATGTCTATTTGAACTTTTAATTATAATTTTAGAGTGGAAGACAATATTTTAGAATACTTTGCCACATATTTTGGCTAATGCTTATCTGAATAAGAGCTTTGTAAGATTATAGATTCAGAAAACCCTAACATGAGAAGTATTATGTATTTCTTTAAATGAATTATCCCTTTCATTTGTTATGTAAACCAAATTACTCTCCAAATCTTTAGTTTCTTAGCGAATCTCATTCAGTATCTAGTGAGGTCCCAAAACAGCTGACTTGTCCAAGGTACAAAAGGAGTGGGAGAACTAAAGTAGGAACTCATTTTTCTAAATTCCCAAGCCTGTGTCCTGTTCCTTCTCCATACCTTCATTCAGAACACTGTTGACGCCTCAGCGACCAAGGCAGATGTAGTACTAATCTGAATGTCCCTGGATCAAGATCTTGCTTTCTGTGTTCATTGTATCCATCTAGTGGTGGGTTGGACAACCCAGACCCCAAAGAGCAGTGCCTCGACTAGATAGGCATTCAAAACAAAAGTGATAGGGAGAGATTTCTTCAAGTAGGCTTAATGACAGTTTTCTAAACTCATCCGGCAAGTATTTATTCTAGTTAGAGGGCCAGTGTGTATGTAGCTCAGTGGTGGAATGTGTGCTTAGCATGCATGAGATCCTGAAGTAAATCCCTAGAACCAGAAAACAAAAGCGAAAGTAGAACTCTTTCATTAGGTAAATGACATAAGAAAGGAATCTCACCAAGGAGAAAGCTGCAGTAATGTTTGCTTATTAAAAAACCCCTAGATTTATAATAGACAATTTACCTCATCCTCTCCATTAACTTTGTAGGTATTTTCTTAAGGTGACAATAGTGAGAAGACTGACAGACTTGGTGAAAGAGTATGATCTCATTGTTCACCAACTTGCCACCTATCCTGATGTTAACAACTCTATTAAAATGGAAGTGGGCATTGAAGATTGTCTACATATAGAATTTGAATATAATAAATCAAAGTAAGTACCTTTGACAAATAAGTGTTCAGAGAAAATTTAAAAATAAGCTTTTCAGATCTTTAAAATTGATCAGTGCAGGGTAGAATTGACATTAATTTGATGTTAACAGAATCCTTAACAAAATGAATATTCTTGTACCCATACCCTTGCTTCAACCATTCGCTACACACAGTTTTTGTTTTATCTTTATTAATATCTCATACCTCCCATAGATTATATTTGGAAGAAATTCTAGATATGTAATTTAATCTATAAAAATTATGCATCATTTTAAATATAATATATTTCTGAAGCTATCAACACTTTTATCTAGTCAGTGTTGCGTATCCCTCATTGTCATATAAATGTCTTTTTTTGTTCACATGATTTGTTCAAATCATGTCCCAACAGGGTCTACTTTGCTTTTTTTGACTTATAAATCTCTTAGTTTTATAGTTTTTCTTTTTTTCATTAAAGTCAGTTATTGAAGAAATGGATATGCCCTGTTTTAGCCCCCTCCTGCACCTTCTGTAGGGAGAGGGACTTAGTGTTACTGAAAACAGGATACACATGCCTGCAGTCTCACATAGCTGAAAAGATTATCAAATAGTTTGAGACCTAAAAACTTATCACTGGAGCATCCCTTCAGACTACATAATTGTATTCTTAGGAAAAGACTAAAAAAACCCTTCAGGTATTGTAAATATTTCCAGGCTTACTACCACATGATTCCAGGGTACGTGGAATGCAGTGGGCTTCGGTTGTTAGATACTCCAGCAGCAGACTGGCCTTGTAGGGGAGCTCCTGCTGACTTCTCTGTGGAAGCGGACTTTGAACTTGGCCATCCAGGGGGATGATGTACCTGATGGTTGGCTGTTAAGAACTTGGTCTTCAGCGAGCTGAACCCTTTAACTGAACTGCAACATTACAATTTTATGTTTGAAGTATTTCAATTGTATGAAGATATTTTCAACATAAAAAGCTCTACACAAGTTTAACATCAGTATTTATTATGCTAAAACAATGCAGTTTCCATATTTACATAATAAGGAATTAATCATAATCATAAGTGATTAATTGAAATGATTAATATTTTGTTGGAAAAAATAAGGTTCTCAGTTATTATCTCAGTGATACTTATTATTAAAG